CGGCATGTTGACAAATGTACTCTATCCATAGTTCTCTGCTTTCATACCCTTTTCTGCCGCATTCAGACATCAGCACGTGATAAAGCCTGATAGGGTGTCTTGTTTACGTGTTGCATAGTGCTGAGATTACTATGTTTTCAATGAAAATTTCATCAACTTTAACGTGAGAACAGTATTAAATTCAAGCGTATACTCGAGTTCTTTTTTGTTGCCACATCCAAAATCGATGGTGACTTCCATGTTTCTCCAGTGATTAATAACAGCTCAGCCAACTGAGAGATTAGACGGTGATGTACTTAGGCAATTCACCCTACGATACTTACCTCTCTCAACGAAAATACACTCATGGAACGTAACAACGAAAGGACTCTTTGAAGTTTACTTGATAAGCTGTTTCACTTCCATCAAATTAGTGGTTCGTGTGGCGTGATGGTTGAATGCCATGCATAACGTGAATGGTCGTTGATTCGAGCTCAGTTTGAGACGAACAGGCACTCTATCCGTCGATATTCTGATAGCAGATTCATATCCAAGGGGAAACCCTCTCCAATTCGCAAAAATGGGCGACAGTTGGTGGTAAGAGCCTGAGAATACTTTGGTAGATAAGTGTCGGGATTTCAAGGTAAATCAATTGTACTAGAGCGTTTAGTGGCAGTTAGGAAGAATAAAAAGTCGCCAATAGGAGGCAGAACTCACGCTCAAATTTGAAGATTTCGTAGATAGAGAGAGAAAGATATGTGATGAATAGGCCAAGTACTTCCATCCGCACAATAAACGAAAACGCGTCAAATCAAATGATCAATTTAATTGAAGAAATGCGTGGATGTCATGTGATCTGTTATAGGGCAAACTTATATAGCCCCATACACGTGTCTCGACCTTGACAATCTCATGAGCAGTGTTCTACACTCGATGGCTCTTGGCGTGTATCGTCAAATTATCATACTTTTCGTGATCTCAGAAAAACACTTGGAACGAAAGATATGATACATTGACGATGCCAGCCAAGAGCAATCGAGTGTACAACACTGCCCATTCGGCTTTGATTTCGCTTGATGGGCGGTGTAAAATGCTCGTCGTCGCCTACTCCTGGTACAGGGGATTAAACGCTCCAAGAGGATTGGCAAAAGGCGAAGGGTACCGCTCGACTGGTGGGAATGTTAAGGTTGAAAACACATGTATCGGTCTATGTAAGTCAGCCCTGTATAACAGACCGCAAGTGATGAGAATGTTAAGGTCGAAACACGTGTTTCGGGCTATATAAATCAGCTCTATATAACAGATCACATACGTGGCTCAAATAGTGATTATCTGGCATATTGAAATTTGAGCGTGGTCATAAGAAAACAGTCTCAACGAAAGTTATAATATTTCGGTAGTAGTTTGCTTGTATAAGGCAGTTCGGGAGCTTCGTATACCATTCAGCTTTGCAGAAGCAGGCCATGATTTTCAGCGCATGTACTCTGTACTATCGAAAAATGTCGAGAAACGTCCGATTTGGATGCGTTGAAACATCATTACGCGACGACATCGCCTACGAAGTTGCGACACGGCCGTAATGGAAATCAACGTAGTTGTGCGATTTCTGTAAAACTACTCTTCGTTTCCGTGTCAAAATGCCGAAGTATACTAAAAAAACATTGCTTATGCATTCGATATTAATCAACCACAATCAGGTGTAACAGCGTGTTTCCTCGTACACAAACGTTGCTTCACTCATATCTCACCAATTTCCGTTTCGTTCAACGTCCCATGCAACCATGAAGATCTAAGAATGATGAAGTCTTTTAGTGAACGATATGTGTTTAGTCTCATCAACGGTAAGCAACCGCCAAACCCACTAAAAGTAAGTAGTCACCTAAGCCTCCATGGCTCCTCTTGCGATTACCTGACTTTTTCGGTTAACGCATGGTGGCTACAACCTCGAATTCGATTGGGAGCGTGCCACTGTTCGATGAAACACTCTAGAGGATAGAGATGCTGAGGGAACAGAGCAGAGCGTTTAGGGATGCCAGTTAAGGATGCCGAGACCGTGGATCCGCGGTCTCGTAAGAGCTTCTAGATAATTTAAAAGCTTGAGAAAAAGGCGAATAAAGCCTTGCCCTCAAAGGCTTAATACAAGTAATGTGCTATAATATAATTGCAAGTTCGTTATGGGTGATCGTCCATTGTGTACCAAATAAGAAAAAAACTGTACATCTTCTGGCAAGCAGTCAAAGCGCTCCGCTTGGTTTCTTGAAGGTTTTACTGAATGAGGTTGACCAAATGAGCAAACCTCTAGTTTATTGTTTACTTCTGTAGGAAATCATTGCTTCTCAGCATTCATTCCTATCTCATTCATTCTAGTTTCTCTTTCGCATTCAGGGTCTACATATAGCTTTACCCATGTTGGTGATAACGGAACAATCTTGCGCTTCTACTGCCACGCAAGCTTTTACTCTTAGTACACTATGAATTAGTGTAGATATTGCTAATGCCGGAATCAAAATAGAATAGTTCAACATTCTGACTGATGTTCTAACTAAGTTATCCTCGTCAACCCTTGGAAGTTACGCAGCGAATTTTTTAGATGTTCTTCTTGTGTTGTCTTCACATTGAAGTCATGAATGAGTCTTTTAAAGTTCTTTCTCTATCTTGCGGTGGTAGAATGTCTGATGTTTTGTTTCAGTTTTTTATGTGGTTCAATGCCACGACGAATGTCGAAGAGAAATTGAAAATTTTGGAAGGTGTACTGCTTTGTTCTCATGAAATACTGTGTTTATTTGAATGTCTCTTCGAACAGGTCGGTATCCGAAAGCATGATCGTGTTGGTGGAATACAAACTAGCGATCGATTATTGTCATACACTGCGAGAAAAAACTTTCATCAAACTTAACCTCTGTCACATTAAGTGTGCACAAGGTCTTTTTAGATCGTCGATTTTGAAAATTTCGTTGAGTTCGAAATATTGAACATCTGATGTTGAATTTTATGGAATAAGTGTGACAGATGCCATTATGAGCGGTATATTATGCGACAACATCGGGAACTGCTGACAAAACCGTGATAATGATATTGAGTAGTTTTTTCAAGACGTTCTTTGACGAGAAAACAAAGCGGAAAGTAGCGGTTTGTTTCTCCTAAAACTTCGGCATTCAAGGAGAAAACTGAAGTTTTCATCCACACCATATTAACCCATACGGGACGGTATCCGCCTAATTTCAGCTCGGCGAGGCTTTGATAATGTCTCCTGAACAGAGAATCAGTACTTATTCTATAGCAGAAGAAAGCCTTGTTAAAACGACTGTTAATGACACAGTATATTTTTTGCGGTCAATGAGAGTATTTTGACCCTCAAATTCTCAGATGTCGTTTTTTCGCCGAACAAAGCTTTTTATCTGAAATTTGAATTGTGATTCAAAAGTTCAAATTTTGGGGATTTCGATACTTTGCTTGGTTTGCAAACAGGCCTTGATAGCACGGTGTAGCATCGAAAATAAAATTATATTTCACACTCGGTTAGCCTTATCTAGCCAGCTAAAGTCCATGGATTGCTTTTTATTGGATGACACTAAACTTATTCGATATTTCAAATCTCGGCAAATCTGAAGCTCAAACTAGTATTTGAAAAGGTTTCCATAGCGTAATGTGAGGGCGAAAATAAAACAACGTATCACATTTGCAGTTTCCTTTGCAGATAGAAGTTCTATATGTACGAAAAGTATGTAAGCTTTTGAAAAAAATACAGTTCTATGAGCGAGGTAACAACGAACTCAAAGAGTACTTTCCCAAAACTAGAAGAAAAAATTTTTTGTTGGAAAACGGAAATCGCGTGCCACTGACGATATCGATGCGATGCTTATTATTAGAGAAGCGCAAATCATATCATTAAGCATATTTCAAAAAATGTGAAAGTTTGCCATTCACTTGACACGTTGCAAAGGCATATGGAAATTGACTCCTATGAACAGCTTATATATCAAAAAATAATGTGCCGTCAAGGAAACGAACAAGAATAATTTGCAAAACACATAAAATACATTTTGAGCATCAGTCGCCTAGAAAATCATTACAAAAACGTCGTTTCGAATTTATATTTACATCAAGTATCTGCCCATCGCACTATGGGATGTTATAAAGCTGGGAATGAAGACCTCATGATGTGGCGGTTACACCACTAGTCGTGTCCAGCACATGCATCGTAGACTTTTGTCCGTCACCGCAACTTTCTTGAATATAGACATCTTGGAACAGAAAACCAGGAATTCTTCTGGGACAACTAAGAGAACGTCCAAAATAGTAGAAGAAAATGATCAGAAAGATCATGTTTTGGAGAAATGAACAAATGGACTACAAACTCTAGTAGTTCACTGATAGAGATACGTATCATGTTGCTGTAAATCATTAAAAGAACGAAACACACCGATTTGTTGAATAATCCAGACAACCGCTTGTGCATAGTTTTCAAAGGACGCTATTAAGAATTTGTGGTATACCAGTTGATCTATGGCTATCACAGTCTCATCTACTTGCAACTCCTTCTCTTACGATCAGATCAACTTTCTGAAAAAGAACCGTATCATTTTTACATTAAATGTTCTTTGTAGTTAGCATGTTGAGAACGACTATATGTTAGAAGCGACATAAAGTCAATGCGAATTCCTAGATATCTTCAGAGATCTCGCAGCTAATAGCATTTATAGTCACAATTGTATAGTCATAATTAGGTGTAATGCATGCTTGATTGATATAGGATTACGTATGTAAAGCTTGGAAGACATTTTATTAACTTTCAAATGACTACTCTTGTAAAAAACGACTCCTATTTATTGCAAAAGTATAACAATTGCAAATTGGAGTAATATTCCGTTTATTTCACGCGACCTGTTTTCACACTTTATTGTGCGGATTTCAGCAATGCTCTTATTCGATTCGCTTCCTTGCATTCACCGTTCACAAAGGCTCCGAGTATAACGAAACTGAAAAATAGTTATACAATGTCAGCGTGTAATTGCAGTTCTTCAGTAGCGCAGTGGGCAGCGCGTTAGTGTTATAATCTGAAGGAAGTGAGTTCGAGCCTCAACCGGAGCAAACCTTTTGCATTTGTTGACGTTTCTTTTGTCAAAGTCTTCTTTCTTAGGAGCGAATGTATTTTTTTCTTACACGACGCTTTGTCACAGTTAACAGTGCGGATTCCACAAATTCTTGTATTCGATTTGTGTCCTCGTACTCTTCCTCCATTAAGGTCCTTATGTATATATTAGGTAATGCTTCGGTTTCTACTTCAAGATTTCGCCTTCCTTTTGAATGTTGTAGTGTGCTGGTAGAGAAGCTTGGAGAAAAATCTTAAAAGTAGCCGAAATAAGGTGTTCTCAGTCGACTGATTGCAGGAGAATTCTGGGCAGACGATCGAACCAGTGCCTTATATATGACCCTGATTCCTTATACATGCGTCACTAATCACTGCCCCTCTTAACAAAAGTGTTAAGCTTGCAGAGTTCTTTCACAGTGTTTACTGTTACCGATGGGATATGTTTTAAAATGATCGCAATCTAATGAATATGTAAAAACTAGTTCTATGTCGCGAATGCCCTCATCCTCCTAACATTTCTTCTGTTGCGATCGCGTAAATAATCCCTCATAAGACAAAGGCCTTGCATTAACCTAAATTATATGACTAATACGAAGATCTGTAAACAAGATATCTCTGCGACAACGCATGCAAACCTGGAACACCTTAGAACCATACGAAGAAATAGTCTTCCTCATACCATATCATACATATCAGTTCCTTATAAAAGCAGTTATAGCCCTTTTACGTTAAGAGGACGGATTTCATTTACATCATTCAAGACGACATTTATGTGGTTTGCTTAAATTTCCAGCTTTTGACAAGCAATTCCAAGAGAAATCGCACACAATCAACACTGTCGACAATCAGTCATTCTGAAAGAACGCCACGGTGATAATTTTACCGTACGCAGAGGCAAATAGTCCGGCGTAGAATCTTTTAAATAGGGAATATATTCCCGACGTATTACTTGAGCCGAAACCGCGTTTACAGATGAGGCTGAAAGACCGGAACATGTGTTTTACACTTTATTAGTGTAATGAAAAAGCTCATAAAAGGCTCAAAATTCTGTGAGGATGTATAACATAACTCCGCCAATATTTCCATATTTAGAGCTGGTTGGTACCCCATCAATCGTTCATCACGAAAGACCGACTTTCTTGAAACCTCGGTATGCTAATAATATAAAACTTTGAAAATGAGAAGAGAACCTTAGAAAACTTATCTTTATCTAAAGCTTCACGAGGTTGGTATCTTTTTCCCATTCGAATGTTCTTCTTTCTGGTCGATGGGTTTTTGCGGTTGCTTGTGGCTGACGTTTCGGCAAATACGCCTCCTTCAGAGCCTGAACGTATTGTACGTTGTAACTTTATTTTTATGACTATGTATCACCTGTATCACCTGTTGTCCCGTTGATCGTCGAGTGACTCGAGCGGGTACCAGCAACTCTTCCATTTTTCCCTATCGCGTGCAAGAGTAGCCCAGTGGGTCCTCCTTGCTCTAGGAATTCGCTGAGCATCATATCTTTCTTCCATCGCTTTCGTGAAGAAATCGGACCAACGGGTCAGTGGTCTTCCTTTAGAGCGCTTGACGTCCCGAGGAATCCAGTCGGTAACGGCTCTCGTCCATCGGTTGTCGTTGAAGCGCATCACGTGTCCGGCCCACCTTATTTTCGATATCCTGGCGTGTAGAACGGCGTCTCTGATTTTCGATCGTTGACGTAGGTCGGAAGTTCGGATCCTTTGTCTCATTTGCGAAATACGAGATACTCCTAGCATCGACCTTTCGACTGCGCGTTCGATAACGGCAAGTGATCTTTCATCCTGCTTACGTAGCGACCAGGTTTCTGCTGCATACGTTAGGGCAGGGATAATTGTCGAGTCGAAAAGGTGGGCACGGAGTCGGATGTTCTTTGTCCTCTTCACTACATCTTCGATGCTCTTAAACGTTCCCCAAGCCGCTCGTTTCCTCCTGCTCAACTCTGGGGCTAGGTCGTTCATCATGTTGATTTCACGACCTAGATAGATGTAACTGGAGCATTCGGAAATTGTCGTTCCGTTGAGCGTGAATGGGGCATTAGAAACCCATCCGTTCCTCATGAACATTGTTTTCGTTAGATTCAGTTGAAGACCGATCTTTCCACAGGCGTTATCGAAATCAGTCAACATTCGTTCCGCTTGGCTGATGTTTGGTGTTATGAGAACGATATCGTCAGCAAAGCGAAGATGGTTTAATTGTCGACCGTCAATTTTCACTCCCATTTCGTCCCATTCTAATGTTCGCATGACGTTTTGTAGGGTGGCAGTGAATAGTTTTGGCGATATTGTATCGCCTTGTCGAACCCCTCTTCTTACGTCAATGGTGATATTGTTGTAGAATGGAGATATTCTGGTCGTGAAATCTTTATAAAGCTCACGAAGGATCATTATGTACCGAGTAGGGACGCCCTGGTTATCCAGAGCCTCTATAACCGCTTCTGTTTCCACTGAATCAAAGGCTTTTTTCAGATCGATGAAAGTGAGACAGAGTGGTTGTTTGTACTCTCGCGAAACTTCAATGAGTCTTGTGATCGTGTGGATGTGGTCCATGGTACTAAATCCTTTTCTGAACCCTGCTTGTTCGCATGGCTGTCCTTCGTCCAGTGTTCTGTCAATCCTGTTCAGGATGACTCGAGTAAAGAGTTTATAGACAACGGACAGCAAGCAGATTGGGCGATAATTGCCTATGTCGTGAAGGTCTCCCTTTTTGAACAACAATACGGTCTTGCTGGTTTTCCATTGAATAGGGACCTTGCATTCTGACAGGTAGCGAGTGAAGAGCCGAGCCAGGGTGTTGATGAGAACTGGCGGCAGGTTCTTCAGGTGTTCTGGTCTAATCCTGTCTGGACCGGGTGTTGTTCTGTTTTTCACCGACGATATAGCATGTCGGATTTCGGAAGGAAGGACCGGTGGAACGACATATTCGTCCTCTTTCAATTTATATGACGGTAAGAGAACATGGCTAGCGAAGAGATCCGAGTAGTATGGTGGATGATTTTCTCCATAGCCCTTCTGGAAGCTGTAAGTGTCCCGTCAGGGTATCGGAGTGCAATCATCTTGGTCTTATAGTTGGCGAAGCCTCGCTGGGCTTTGCGAATGCTCTTCCCAGCTTCTGCAGCTTCTGCCATAACTGCTGCTCTTCTCTCTTTAAGGTCTTCTTTTATCGCTTCTCTGCATCGTTTCGCAAGTTCGGACGTAAGGTTTCGGTTGCCTGCGGCTCGTGCGATTCCACGTTGACGTATCAGCTCGAGTGTCTGCGGAGACAAGCGTCTCTTCGTGACCTTAGGACTCTCGGCTTTCTTAGCGCCAACGTGAAGATATTCAACGAGTCGATCGTATCTTCGTCGATGTTGTCGACAACGGTATCTTCCCAAGAGCCGACTAATGATTTGAATACATCCCAGTTTATGGTAGTTCTGGGACTTCGTTGTTTGAATTTAGCGGCTTTCTCTCCTCTCCTCGAAAATCGGAACGTTGCGCGAAGGAGGCGATGGTCTGATCCCGTGTAGAACTTGGGAACAACAGCGACGTCGGTCAGGCAAAACCTTCGATTTACTATGATGTGATCTATTTCGTTATGGTACTCTCCATTGGGAGACTCCCACGTCCATCGCTGAGAGAGAGGCTTTTGGAATTGCGAGTTACCATGGATGGTTTGGGTCGTCATGATAAACTCGGATAGCCTCTCACCCTGTTCATTCCATTCTAGTCCGTGGGTCCCTATGTGACGTTCTTCAGACGTTCTTCTAGGTCCAATTTTTGCGTTAAAATCTCCGACAATGACCTTGAAGAATGTATGATCTTCTCTGAAGAATTTTTCGAGGTCCATATAGAACGCTTCGACTTCGTCTTCGTCATAGCTTGATGTTGGTGCGTAAGCAACGAAG